ATAAAACTCTCTCTTATACATGAGTTTCTGTGGATTTGTTTCTCTAAAGTACCCAGACTAACACAAATACTAAAAAAACTTCCTTTTTCCCCTTGCCTTCCTTGATTCTTTTCTCCCAGAGTGAATCCACAACAGAATATGTGGAAGGAAGCACAAGTGGGGAGCTGGGAAGTTTGAATCAGAAGCATAGCATTATGTCTACAGCTCAACTTTTCTTTTTAAACATGGTATCCACCTACTTAAATAAAGGAAGAGCACACGATGTATTCTTTTTATCTTCCCCATATACTTCCTCATATTTTAGTGCCATCTGTGAGAAATGTCTCAAAAAAAGTTTAGTGAGAAAAAAAAGTTTAGTGAGAAAGAAAATTCTATTGTAGAGTAGATCTATAAGGAAACGGACCCTAATCAGAAACTTATGTGACAGTATTAGGAGAAAAAAAATAGACACCAATTCTAGAGGCCTAGAAAAGGAAACGAGGACTAGCTAATGCTACAACAGGTCCTCATGTGGTGCTGACCCCCAATCATAAAATTATTTCCGTTGCTACTTCATAACTGTAATTTTGCTACTGTTATAAATTGGCCGACCCCTGTGAAAGGGTCGTTTTATCCCCAGGTTGAGAACCAATGATCAATGTAACGTGCCTTAAATAGAACTGATATTGGGTGGGGACAAACAGTTGCCACTGAGTCGAATCCAACTCATGGTGACACTAACTGTGCAGAGAAGCATTATTTCAGTGGCGTATGAACTTGGGCCTTTGTAAAATATGCTCTTGGCCTCTTTTCTATGCCTTAAGGGTCTTATTCGTAAACATCCCATTAGTGTAGCTCTACTTGGAGCCTGCCTGACCACAAGAACCACTACCAAATGCTCTGCTTCGATGTAGGATTAAAGGGGTGCACTCATTTCTACCATAATAGAAAGACAGTATCCTATATCAAATACTAAAAATAGTCCTAAAAAATATTTTTACCAGTACAGTAAGTGCTCAAGTATCTTATGGAATTTTTAGGTGGCCTAGAAATAGTACCATTATTTAATGAAAAAAATACTGTTAAGTTCAAAACAGCAACTCTTTTCAGCAACAAAATGTGTAATGCAAGAATTGGGTCAGCCAGCATTTACATTTAGAAAATTTACCATTATTGCATTTAAAAAATACTTCTAAGAAATGTCTAATTTCAAAAAACAGAGTTATACAATAATTACGAAAACCAAATAACTATACAGTCAGTACAAACCAATGAACTCATTTCAAAAACCAAAGAGCTATACGAAAATGTGCCAAATAATGTATTCTATTATCAAGACCTTGGATCAAAAATTCTACTTTTTTGACAGCAATAACTAACCTTAAAACCATAGGTGATGCCATCTTTTAAAGACTTATTTATATTCCCTGTAGTATTAACCCATCTTTTACATATTCTTACCTTTAGATTACATTACAGAGACAACAACCTATTACTAAATATGTTTTAAACCGAAGAAACCCAGTTTCCCTGGAGATGATGATATGCCATTCACTCACATTCCCAGAAGACTGTTCTCTTTTCCAACCATCAGTACTTTATTCTGACCAGAAAAGAATGGGATATTAAGAAGTTTAAAATGGAATGTAACAGAATTTTATAAACCAATCCCAGAATTTTTAAACAGTGCTGCTATTCCTTATACTAAACGTCACCCTCATAGATATATATAAAATAAGTCAACTTACATGGTCTTATAATCATTTAATGCCTCCAGAACATGCTCATATCTTTCAGATTTTGGTGTGTCTGCCAGCTGTGAAGTATCAAGAAACAATTAAATGCACAAAACTTTCATCTATTAGGAAAATAGATGTGCTAGACAGAAGTAACGTGATGCAGAGAAAAGTGTAATGACTGGAAGTTAAAAGATCAAAGTTCTAATTGCAGGTCTTCACAGACCCTAGAATCATAAGCCTTTTAAGACTTATTTTCTCACTGTAGAGGAGGGCACATATTCTTCGCTAATACTAGTTTATTGCATATATATCGTGAAAAAAACTAAACTAGAAAACATTACAAAAATGGGATTTTATTATTATCATTAAATTGATTTAAATTCTAGTATATGGGAAAATAATGCATTCTGATTATGTAAACGTAAACCATAAAAACCTCCCAATTACAAAAAAACCTCCCACTAGCATTGCAATACAAAGGAGTACAAAAGACATATTGTTCAATTTCTCAATTATTTCTAATATTAACACAAACCAATTATCTCTAATTTTTACAAATGTGAAATTTGGAGGGTTTATTTTCATAGCAGTTACAGAATTTAGGTAGCACTGTATGGGCTTAGTAATGTTTTGTCATCACAAACCATTTTAAAATCTAAACATTCAATTCTAGAACACATTTTTTTTTAATAGCACTTTTCCCCCAGACCTTTCTCTCTACTCTCTTCTTCAAAGATTAAAAATAATGACCAATTCGCAAAAACTTCTACATTAAAGACAAAAAAAAACCACATTAAAAAATATCAGTTAATTTTCAAAATTACAAAAAATTATAGCATTTGTTTAACAATTTTAACTCCCAAACCTTAGAACTGCTTCCAGTGAAAATAGCAACACAAAATATGTTTTTTATTCTGCCAGAAGAAACTTTGTCTCTAGTGCTGACTCTACAAATAGAGGTTAAATGAACTGCTTAAATTCACAGGACTAATTAAAAGCCAGAACCAAGCCCAGTAATGATAAGTACACTATTTCAACATTCACTACGTCCACCACATGCCAACTGTTTTGGGCACTAAAACAAATTTATAACGTAGGACAGGCTGGTGGTCATTCCTTTATGCCACATCCTCCTCCTGTATTTTCTGAAGTGCCCAACAATACTTTTTATTAAATGAGAGATAACAGAATCAGATTTTACAGCTTAAAAGACCACAGATGTCTGTCTACCTACTTTAATTCTCCATCCAATATTGCAATCACTTATACAGTAGAGACAGTCATTCAACCTTGGCTTCAATTCTTCCACTAATAAAAGCTGATGAATCACCTACTGAAGGAGCAGATTCCATAGATGGGCAAAACTTCCTTCCCCTGCAACTCTTCTATTCCCCTAGAGAGCTCTTCAAATTATTTGACAGTAGCTATCATGTCGAAGACTAAAGTTTTTCCACAGCCACATCACATGATCATTTCGCATTAAGCTTAGTTCAAACCACTGACTTTTAGGTTATCAGACAAACAAACACCATTGTTTGTGCTACCCAGGAACCTAAGAGAATTAATAAATATATCCTTTTGATGCCCATCCCTCCCACTTCCAACTCTGAAATCTTATCATATGAACTGCTACCAAGTATCTTCTACCCTATAGATCTATATATACTAGTATGTGTGTGTATAAGCCTAAAAGCAGAACTGGTTAAATTGGTTGGTTTCATTTTGTTTTCAGCTCAATATTATAGATGACCTTTTCTCTTGTGATCCTTCTTGACTGAAGTGAAAGATCCCACCGCCTACCATTAGAATCTCCATCGAGGCAGTGTCTGACACCTTAATTGCTCTTGTTATTGCTATTTCATTACAAATCCATTTAATTTTTAAGTTGATATTTCAATATATAACAGAACACAAGTTATTGCATATCAACACCATGCTCAATGCTGACATACAAGAGTTTTGTTAATCATATGTAAAATAAAACCATGGTGTTTAATATGATTATTTTAATAAGAGTTCTCTATTCTTTTTTTAAATATCCATAAACCAGACATTCTGAGAAATCTCTGCAATTCTGATGACATCAAAACAGACTTTGTAATTTTTCAAGCATTCCTTTTTGCTTCTGAAAATCATAATTAGCTCTCTCTTCTTTTGGTACTTACTCTCTGTGGTTTAACAGAAATTTTTTAGTACCCTCAGACTATTTTGCACAATGAAGCTCAATAGAAAATTACCTTGCTATTGTAACATAATATTTAAGTTTTAGGTACGTTTCATAGCAATAATAAAGTCAACTAGGTAAATAAATAAATTTTATATGAGCCTTCTCTAAATAAGGTTAACATTCTTAATACTCTATTGTTAACAGAAGCCACTGTATTTATGTTATGACAATAAAGGGCAATACATCAAAAGACCACCAGTGATTTGAGTCCGTTTGATCAGTGATCATACCAACTAAAGACCTAAAAAACGTATTTAAGATCAAGCTTCCAAAATACATGTATCATTGCTATACACTTAGGCAGTGTCACCATGTTCCTTTGTAAATATTCTGTCAGTTAAGAATGTGTTACCTCCAGAATGGTAAATAAGGGGAAGTATCTCTATGATTAGGTGTCCATTATATATTCCTAAAAAAAAAATCATTAAAATCTAAATCACGGTCTCAGCACGATTTGTTTTTCCTTTTACCTGGACAGGTCGGAGTCTTCATTTCAAACCAAGTAAAATCAAGCAACATAACTAATGTTTGGTTCTATCTCAGGAAAATCTTAAAATGAGTTCATGTATAATATATATTATGTATAAGAACTGATGCTCAACATGATTGTTGAGTAAAGTTAGCATATATTTTTCCTCATTTCTTCAAAGTACTGCAATTTTATAGAATGATTTTCAAGAGGAATATAAACAACCCCCCCCTCAGTTAACCTAATTTTTTTTAATCAATGATGACAAAATTCAGTTTTCCACTTCAATTAAGAAAAAATACAGGCTTTAAGTAGCCAGGGGGTAGAAAGCGACCGCAGATGCTGATTAAAATCCTACTGGGGACAACCTCATGTGTCACAGAACGGTGTCCTACAGAATGTCCAGTGGCTAATGTTTACAGAAGTAGGTAACTGTACTTTCTTCTAAGGTGCCTATGAATAGACTTCAAAAGCAAAGCTTCATGTTAGGAGGCAAGTGCACTCACTGTTGGAACTATTCTAGAATGATCCTTTATTCATATCATCTGCATGCATTATCACAAACATTTAAAAGTAAACTATAAATGAAAAAATAAACACTGTAGCCTAATAAAAACTTTCTTATCTTTTATAAAATCTCACCCTAAAAAATTGTAAACATAATATATTGAGATGTAAAAGATTCAGATAAAATTAAAACTACTGGCCATTAGTCTAATATGACCAAACTAAGAAATCTACATATTTTCCTAATTTAATGCAGAATAAAAAGGAATGAGAAATAGAAAACTTGTTTTAATCATTTTGAAGTAGGATCTTGAAAAGAAAATTCACACTCACTGCCACCTAGTCAATGCTAACTCAACTCATAGTGATCCTCTAGGGCAGGGTGGAACTGCCCTGGGAGTTTCCTAGATTATAACTGCCTATGAGAGTAGAAAGTATCGTGTGTTTCTGGCAGAGCAGTTGGTGTTTTTGAACTGCTGACCTTTTGCATGGCAGCACAATGAATAACCACTACACAACAAGGGAATCTTTGACCTAGGCTAGAGCTGATATATGTGAAATTCATAACTAAACTCTTTTTATGGATTAATGTATACATATAACCATTTAATATTCTTGGCCTCTTAAAAGGACTCTGATGGCAAAGGAGGTATGTACTGAAATGTTAACTACAAAGTCAGCGTTCCAAGCCCCAATCTTTCTCCATAGGAGTAAAGTCTGTTCCTGTAAAGATTTACAGCATTGGAAAGCCTAAGGAGGAATTCTTTCCCCTATAGAATCTGAGTCAGAACTGACTAGACCACAATAAATTTGGTTTAGACTCTAATTCTTAACCTCTTAAAATCGAAATACTAAAATTTTAATACAGAATGACAGTCTTTGAATTAATACTATGTTAGGTTTTTTTTGTAAGTCTAAATACTCTATTGCAAAATCTCACATGAAACAAAGTGTACTAACAGTATATAGACATGTCTGCCTATCCAGTACTGAAAGAATCATGAAATCATAAAATAGAAAGAAAATATTCTAAATGAATGTATTGACAGGATTGTCAAGATGTCTGAACACTAGATTACCGTCCCTTACCCTACCTTTTTCTTACCAATAATCAGTATTAAAATGTATTAGACTAACAAGGCACTTTCTCTCAAACTGCATCTGCAAATGAAGCATTTACCTTAAAAGGAATCTTAGCACTCCAATTCCTTCAACATTCAAAGCACTAAGTTTCATAGTCTCCTAGATTTTTATTCTGTTTCATTCTATGCAGAGGATCTACCACCAACTAACTTTCAAGGTATTGTTAGGTTTTCCCTACTGTCCCTTAAAAAAACCCAAAATAAACAAGCAAAAAATATATATGCTGTTTAATAAGGAGCCCTGCTAGCTCTGTCAGGTAAGCATTGGACGCTAATAGCAACTCAACAGTTCAAATCCACAAGCCACTCAGAAGAGAGATTAGGCTCTCTGCATCCATAAAAATTTACATAGCCTGTTGTTTTGTTTTATTTTGTTGCTTGGTTTTGCTCTGTCTTATTTTTGTGCATGTTATTATCTCTGCATGTTTGTCTAAATAAGACAGGTTGGATGAACAATCTGGAGGAGAAAACAACGGGATCGACAGTTCTGGGGAGACATGGGAGAGGGGAACGTGGGGGGAAAGGTAGTAGTGTTAACAAACTCAGGGACAAGGGAATAAGTGATCCAAATCGGTGGTGAGGAGGGTGTAGGAGGCCTGGTAGGGTGTGACCAAGGGTAATGCAACCGAGAGAAATTACTGAAACTCTAATGAAGGCTGAACATGATAGTGGGACAAGAGGGGGGGAAAGGAAATAGAGGAAAGAGCTAAGAAGCAAAGAGCATTTATAGAGGTCTAAATAAAGGCATGTACATATGTACATATTTGTATATGAGGATGTGGAAAATAGATCTATGTGTATATATGTATACATTCAGTATTAAGGTAGCAGATGGACACTGGGCCTCCACTCAAGTACTCCCTTAATGCAAGAACACTTTGTTCTATTTAACTGGCATTCCAAGATGCTTACCTTCCCAACACAATCGCTGAGGACAAAGTGGGTGAATAAGCAAATGTGGTGAAGAAAGCTGATGGTGCCCGGCTATCAAAAGAGTGTCGGACAATGAATGTACAAATGCGCTTTACACAATTGATGTATGGATTGTGATAAGAGTTGTATGAGCCACTAATAAAATGATTTTAAAAAATAAAATAAAATAAAGAATAATAAATAAACAAAGAGTGTCTGGAGTTTTAAAGGCTTGAAGGTAAACAAGCGGCCATCTAGCTCAGAAGCCACAAAGTCCACATGGAAGAAGCACACCAGCCTGCGTGCTCACAAGATGCTGTAGGGATCAGTTATCAGGCATCAAAGAACAAAAAATCCTATCATGTGTGCTCACCTCCCTGATATGATTGCTGAAGACAAGTGGGTGCATAAGCAAATGTGGTGAAGAAAGCTGAGACGCAACATAGCCCCGTTGGAAGAAACACACCAGCCTGTGCGATCACAGGGTGTCGAAGGAATGAGGTATCAGGCATCATCAGAACAAAAAAATTATATCATTGTGAATGAGGGGAAGTGCGGGCTGGAGACCCAAAGCCCATGTGTAGGCCATTGGGGAGGAGGGGACGAGCCAGTTGGGGTGCCGTGTAGCAATGATGAAACATACAATTTTTCTCTAGTTCCTTAAATATACTGACAGTTCCACTATCATGATCCCAATTCTACCTTACAAACCTGGCTAGACCAGAGGATGTACACTAGTACAGATAGGAACTGGAAACACAGGGAATCCAGGACAGATGATCCCTTCAGGACCGGTGGTGAGAGTGGCGATACCGGGAGGGTGGAGCAAAGGTGGGGTGGAAAGGGGGAACCGATTACAAGGATCTACATATAATTTCCTCCCTGGGGGCTGGACAACAGAAAAGTGGGTGAAGGGAGACGTCAGACAGTGCAAGATATGACAAAATAATTTATAAATTATCAAGGGTTCATGAGGGAGTGGGCAGCGGGGAGGGAGGGGAAAAATGAGCTGATGCCAGGGGCTTAAGTGGAGAGCAAATGTTTTGAGAATGATGAGGACAATGAATGTACAAATGTGCTTTATTTAATTGATGTATGTATGGATAGTGATGAGTTTATGAGCCCCTAATATAATGATATTTTTTTAATTTACAAAGCCTCAGAAACCATATATAAGGTCACAATGAGCTGGAATCAACTCAATGGAAATGGGTTTGGTTTGGTTTGACTTATGCAATTTGATATGAACCTTACAATTGCCTCTTGTCTAAAAACCAAATTATGCAGAATTCTCTCTGAACTTCAAATCAGTTTGTCATTTTTGCCTCCAAAAGTAATACATAACTAAAATTCACACATCTAACTCCACAAACTAGAAATCTTTCTGTTTTGATCTAAGAATCATTAAGTTTTTATATAATATACAGTTAAGACTATTAACTGCGTTCAAATAATTTGAAACAAGTACTACAAACGAGTTAATTGAACTTATTCTAGTTACTTTCCTTTATGCTGTTCTGTAATTTCAAAATCACTAATGAACATTCATTACGGTTAATATTTCTTTTAAAACTATTTTTGGGGGGTAAATGAGCATAAACTGCTATACTAAGCAAATAAAAAATTAAGAAATATGATGTTGACAGAATGGGGGAGATAATTCCCAATTTGGAGAGCTTCACTCTTTTAATTCGTTATTCTAACAGTATTACTGGTCCCACCATTCCTGGAAGCCTAAGTAATTAAAAGAGGTATCTAAAGGTTATAACCAACAAGAGAGCTAAGATGAATACAAGTTACATCTCTTCAATTTACAGGCAACACACATGGTAGCATGAAAAATAGTCCTGATATCCTTACTAAAGTTATTTCTCCCAAACTCAAGAATCAAAAGTCTAGTTAGACATCTGACTTATATATGTGTCTTAGTAATTTTTATATGTGTATCTTAGTTGTTTTCAACAAAAGCAAAGTGAAATAAAAAAGACATCAAGTTATGAAGTTAGCTCTAATACTACCTACCTCTCCAGGGTGCAATCTATCCCAGTTTTCATTAATGTATGTCATAAGCTCAAGTTCAGAATCAAAATATTTCTTCTTGTGAATAACACTTAGGTTGTAAAGGCATAGGTGTGCTATATCTACCCTGAAATCCAAAAATAATCAAAATATACTATGATGTTTTAGGTTATTATTGTGAATCATGTAATTCAATAAAACCAATCATTAAAAATTGACTGAAATATTTAAGTGAAGAGGTTCATTATTTTAGATCAAATTCACAAACTAATAAATCATTCATGCATATGAAAATAATTGGAAAACACTGGCAACATTTGCTAATCCTGAGTAGCAATTATAAACAAAGACATTTGAGTTCTTAAATGTACAGTGGATCCGAAAGGAAAAAAATTACTTGAAATATTTCTGCTTGTTTTCATTAATTATATTTAACCTACAAGTATATTCATATTCTAATCACATATTCTTCTATTTAATATATGAAATAAGTCTCATCTCTTCCTGAAATACGTAAAATAAGAATCTGCAAGTACTTACTGTAAAAATTTTATTAGACTTTGAAAATTCACTCAACTGTTCATGTCCAGTAATTATTACTAAAGCAAAATTTTTAAATAAACCGCTTTTCCATAGTATGCTGACTTTAAGATTCAAAAAAATTGAAAACATGAATAAAAATTCTGAGTCTAAAAGATGTTTCAAAGTTTCATTTATTCCCTCCTATAACAAAGAGCCTTATCAATATAGCAATAAAACTAGATAATCCTTAGTGAAAATGACATCAGACATGAGGATAAAAGGAAGATAATAAATTATCCAAGCCCAAAAAAAAGACTTTTATTCATAACCAACTAAATGTATTAAGAAAACAAAACCCTTTCATCCTGATGACTTAGAGCCTTTTTCCTTAGAGGAAATATTCACTTACCACTGTAATGGTAGACGTTTGAGGTATTCTGGTCCAGAACTGCAGACAGAGCAAATAAATGTATAGAATCTGCAGGGGGTGGAGAGGAGATGGTCTGAATATAACTGAGTAGTCAAGGTTATGTAGAAATCATCCTACAATGACTAATGGAGTCCAAATATGACACAATATAATTTGTGATTTAAGTCATCTCTTTTACCATAATAGCAAACCATTAAACAGTCCATATCTAGGAGAAAATTACACATGGTACAAATTGTTAAATATCTGACTAATAACTAGAGCAAAAGTTAGCCATTCAGGTCATCCTGAAGGTCCCTAAGGTCAAAGCCTTGAAAACTATTTGAAACAGCTACTCTGAATACATAGGCTCTTCATGAGAATAGAGAAACTCAATAATAACTAACACAAACAACAGCGACCACCAGAGATCAAATATAGGTTCATGTGCCTCTAATTACTGCCTACTTTATTTGTGTCAAGAAATAGTGATGACAGCTCCCATATACAAAGGAACTTGAAAAGGTTTGTGGAAAAATGGAATTAAAAATAGAATTCACAAACTTTTCTGAGGCCCCTTCTATTATAATTTCCATCAATGCTCAAATAACCCACAAAAATATATCCACAGGATGTAAACTGGCTTTCCTACGTTCATAAAAATAGGTAGCATGACTATTTTTAATAAGGTCAGCAGTTCTAAACCAGCCTCTCTATGGAAGACAAGGCTTTCGACTCCCATAAAGAGGTCCAGCCTCTGAAACTCACGGGGCAGTTTACCCTGTCTTATAGGGCCACTATGAGTCATCCTCAAGATGGCGTTGAATTTGAGAACAGGTAAGTTATATGTACTCCCTGACCCAATTCTCTGTTGTGGGATTCTTTTACAGTTCTTGAAATAAGGAGAACAATGATAATAGTATGGAGCCTTGTGAAACAATAAAGACCAATATAATCACTAATCTGTGGGAAACTAACACTGAGAGAAATATGACTGCAACTTATTCCCTAACTTATAACAGACGGAATTCCACAGTAGGAAAGCCACCACTTTGGTAAATTAAAGTCCAAGTACATTATCCTGCTTTATATATTATTCCCACAGATTGTCCCCTAACAGGTTGCTGCCTTAATCTGAGCACATGGTTGATTCTATCTCCCTGTAGAAGCAGACATTCTCGGTATCTCCTCCTGCCATGGCACCCATTCCCCGTCAAGCCTTCCCCCAATGCAGGTATTGGTTTCCTCGCCTCAAGGACTTTACTGTGGTCACCACCCACCTTGTGATGTATGTAACTACTGAATAAGAATGTCTTATGGCTACCTACAAATATCACAAGACAGTAAACATCCGCGCTCGCTCCTCCCCCTGCTCTCTGCGCGGACCTGGCTGCTGAGATTATGGCCATCCAGGAGGTGAGCATGCTACCATAATATGTGTTTGACTCCTTCATTTTATCTTCTCTCCTACCTCTCCCTATTCTCTATGGCTTTACTACGATCTTTATATATTATAACCATACAATTGCACCTACGGACCCCACCCCAGTGTTGTTAGAGGCTGGTTTACTCTAACACTAATCAAATACATAAAATCTTTCTGGAATAATATCCAAGAACATAAAACCATATATATAGCTTTAAGTACATTATTCAGAGCCCTGATGGCACAGTGTTAAGTGTTAAGAGAAAGGTCAGTGGTTTAAAATCACCAGTAGCTCTGTGGAAGAAAGATGCGGCAGTTTGCTCCTATAAATTAGAGAACCCTTCAGGGCAATTCTCCCCTGTTCTATGGTGTTGCTAGAGTCAGAACCGACACAACGGTAGGCAATAACAACCGATTAACTATTACAATATTTCTTAGAAATCTAAACCCGCAAACAGCCAATTTTAAAGCTGTAGAGTTCAATGAGTAGTGTTCAAATGCCCTACTCACCTGTCTCCAAATAGCATTGGCTTTTGAAGGCATTGCACACAAGCCTCATGAAACCACTGCTTACATTTGCAACACTGCAGCATCTTTAAATACCAACTATAAGAGAAATTTTTAGTTAAAATTACTTTTTTGATGAAGCAATGGCTCATTTTTTAAAAAGCATTACCCATAATGTAGTTGACTAAAGTTAACACATTACTACTGTAACTTAGTGTTAAATTATTACATTCCAAAAAGACTAATAATATCGATGTTTAATTCTTTTTTCCCCATGGGAATGTATACATCTCCAAAAGATACACCTACTCTTTGTAGGAAACAAGTGCCTGGATTCCCTCATCAGTAAAAGATCTCGCTTTCAAAACACAAATCCAGGACCTTTTCCTAATTCACTATTTCCTAAGATAAGACTCGATCTCAAAGGCCACTGGCATATATAAGGGAGCTTCAAAAAAGTGCTGCAGTAGGTTAAGAACTGGGCTGCTAACTAAAAAGTTGGTGGTTCAAACTCTCTGGTGGAAATGAGAAGTGTGCCTCTACCCCCACCCCCACCCCCACCCATCATGATCCCAATTCTGCCTTACAAATCTGGCTAGACCAGAGGCTGGACACTGGTACAGATAGGAACTGGAAACACAAAGAATCCAGGGCAGATGATCCCTTCAGGATCAGTGGTGTGAATGGTGATACTGGGAGGGTGGGGTGGAAAGGGGGAACAGATTACAAGGATCCACATATAACCTCCTCCCTGGGGATGGACAACAGAAAAGTGGGTGAGGGGAGACGTCGGACAGTGCAAGATATGACAAAATAATAATTTATAAATTATCAGGGGTTCATGAGTGAGGGGGGAGCGGGGAAGAAGGAGAAAAAATGAGCAGCTGATGCCAGGGGCTTAAGTGGAGAGAAAATGTTTTGAGAATGATGAGGGTAACGAATGTACAAATGTGCTTTACACTATTGACGTATGTATGGATTGTGATGAGTTGTGTGAGCCCCCAATAAAATGATTAAAAAGAAATGAGAAGGCTTCTGACATAAGATGTACAACCTCAGAAACCATATGGAGTTCTACTCTGACCTAAGAACCAAAATCAGCTTGGTGGCAGTGGATTTGGTTTGTGGAAATTTTTCATTATTATTTAATCCATTTTTCCATTAATCTTTGACACCTCCTCATTCAGTTCACTGTCTATACATCAAATGACCAACAGTTGTTTTCAGAGCATGATCACGCCACTTCATATCCTCAATCTCCTGCTTTTGTTCATTATAATATTGAGAGGGAAAGAAGTATTGCAATGAATACATTTGAATAACACAACTAAACATATAATCTGACTCTATAATGAATCCAGGCTTTGGTATAGCTTATAGCTTGATTTCACACACCTGAAGATGCTAAAACTTTGTCTTCAGCTAAGAAGGCATCCTTTTGCTTTTGTTAGCTCTTGGTTTTGATACATGTTATCTTTGCTACCCAGATAATACATTTTCTTCTAGTAATTCTTTTGTATAAGTATGTCCCATATTAATTTTAAGCCTCACAAAGGCAAAGAAAAGGAAATAACTATAAACCCACATCACGGACAGTTAAACTTGATAGCGTCTTAATTTCTTTGCCAATACATTTGAAATGTCTAAAATGGTATCTCATTCCTAAGAAATCTTCTGAGAGAGAAGATGTCTTACTATCAGACTCTCTTTTTTTAATTAATCTGTTAAATATTGTAAAGTAACTTAAAATTAAATGTAAAATTTTTCTTTAAAAAAAATAAATAAATAAAGTCACATCACTCAATTAATAATGTTCAGTAACTACCAACTACATCCCAGGCCCTCTACTACATGCTGAAGGGCAATTAGTTATACTTATCAGGCAGTTTCTAAACTTGTGATGCCTAAACATCAAGAAGTATTTATAATGGCTTCTATTTATTTTGAAGAGTATTTTAAAAAGTGAACAAGGGAGTAAATGCCAAAGGGGGAAAATATTAATCATTAGGCTTATTCATTCTCTCTCTTTTGTAAATGACTTAACAAGTCTGAGCAAAACTACATAAAAGTCATAATTAAAATTTCCTTAAAATCAGAAATTGAAACAGAATGAAGATCTGTCCAGAGATACAAGTTTAATGTACTCATATATAAATATCTACTTAAGTAACCACGTAATTTTTTCTTATTACTGTTGTAAAAATGATATATAACAGCATTTGCAAATGTCTACTATAGTAGTTATACACTGAGCTGCTTAACCACAATTCTGCCAAAAATTATTCTGAGTCACAATCTTACAAGGCATTTGATCAATTACTGAAAATAGCCACCCATTGCCATCGAGTTGATTCCAAGTCACAGTGAGCACACAGAACAGAAAGAACAGCTCCTTAAAGTTTCAGAGACGACATCTTTTTTTTTCTTCCTTCAGAGACTGTAAATCTTTAGGAAAGCAGACAGCCTCATTTTCCTCCCACAAAGAAGCTGGTGGGTTAGCAGCCCAGTGCTTAACCCACAGTGAAATCCGGGTTTGAAAATCATTCCACTTAGATTGAGGCCTTAAGATCAGGTATGGGAGGTTTAGTGGTTTTGCCAACTTTACTAGATTTATAGAAGGGTTTAAGAAGAGTCTCCAGGAGACACTCCAAAGAGTCTCTTGGATCTTTTGGACCCAGAGTCGCTGGGCTGAGAATACCCTCGGCCCAGCAGAGTGAAAGTACAAGGCAGTAACAAGCAGAACAGAGCCAGTCAAACAGAGAGAATAACAAAATTGGCAACCAGCTGTAGTGGGCTGATGGCCTTTGGACAGGAGCTTGGTGGTAGAATTACGAGAGCTATAAATAAGAGAAATAGAGGGACTCAATGGTAGAAAGGCCAAGAAAGAGACCCAGCAGCAAAGTTAGCAGAGGCCTAAAAGAAGCCCAGTGCTGAACCACAGGGCCTTCTACACTGGCCATGAGTTTGGCCAATAAGAATTGAAGAGGCCAATGGTGGGGGGACCACAGGCAGAGAACAGCATTATTGGCTAGCACAGTCACCAAGGAACCGAAAGTTATCCTAGTTAGAAATGATCCTGATGGATGTGACCTGCAGCCTGTCTCTATAGAAATCTCTTATTACTTCCAAGTTGTAACTGGTCCCAGTTGCACCTTCTTATTAATGCTAATAAAACACATATAAGTGAGCACAGTCCATGAGTTCTGGGTGGCCAATGTAAGGGATTATCAAACCCAGCAGAGAAGTCAAGTATAAAGTACTGTGGGACAGATGACTAGAGTCAAATATGGTGAAAATGTTAGCGTGTACTGATCTTAATTCTGACTCTTCACGAATCTAGGCAAGTGCAGATGCTACACGGTAGCTTGTACTAAAAAAAAACAAAATCAAAACAAAAACTTAACCCTAAAGGCCTTAGCTGACTATCCACAAAACTAAAGAGCCAAAAGCATATGGGGATGGGCAAAAAGAGAGAATATAAGCAAGAAGAGAAGCATAATGTCCAGAATTTTACATTTAAGCCACCTTACATTCTGTACCAGAACCACATACAATTTACCCTAAAGTTTAAAAATAAACCAGCAATCTTTTAAATATATGGGTACGGTAAAATATTAGAGGAAGATCTGGAGGGACAAGGAATTAGCGGTCAAAAATGATGGTATAATTATTCCCCTAATTTTCTGTGCCCGTGCTTTTAATGAATTTACACTTCACCATCACTCACAATCAGTAAAGCAATCCAAGAAAATAAAAATGACTTAAAAGATACTACACAATCGCATTTACTTACTCTCCAGGGCCTCCACAATAGCAGTAACACTGCTGAACATTGGTTTTATGACCTGCATCCCATTCAAGATCGGCCACACTATAGGGTAATGTCTGCTTCATGACTTGCAATGCTTTGGCATTTGGTCCCTTCTTAAGTGCACCACCCCTCTACATTAGAAGGAAAAAATGTTTTTGAAGAGTGAAGACTAAACATTTAAACACAATTCTAAAACTTAAAAATGTCTGAAGAAATTTCCGTTCTAAATTTCCACCATGTAAAAAGTTGTTTAATAACTTTATGTGTTTGTCATTTTGTTAAAATTATTGCCCCAATTCCAAACCTACTGTCCTAAGTGCAAAGAATAGATAAGTATCAGTAGTCCAACAATAAGAGTACAACCTTCTAGCCAGCACTGATTGGTCATTTCATTCAAACTAGCTTTCAATGTGCACAAGAATTAAGTATTCATAGCGCCTTACAAATTTCACGTAGGGCTTTAGCACAAACAGTTAAATGATACCTTTGTTGTTGTTGCAAAAACACACTGACGACAGAGCCATTTTTCATCTGAATCAATCACACTGGAATCAATATGAGGTGTGTGACACAATTGATGATATCCTTAATGTCAAAAAAAGCACAAAGTAATTCTATTTTATTCATAAAAACTGGACTACAATTTCAAGAATTCATTTTCGTATTTCCTGTTCCGACATTAAGTTCCTTATCATTGATTGCTATAAAAATTGATTTAAATAAATGATAATTGCTTCAAATTACAACATAAAATATTTTTGTGGTTAATCTTCAATTTTTGGTGTTAATTATATAACTAACCTTTTCCAAGTGATTGTAAGAAACGATTGTTTACCTTGGCCACATTTATCACATATAACCATTTCATTGGGAGCATCAGAATACTCTTCTTGACATATGGTACAGACCATTTCCCCACTTCCAGTGGCTCCTAAAATATTTAAAGCAATACATTTTTTTTAAAAAGGTCAAAATAAAGGAGAGTTCTACATAACAAAATTATTTTTATGACTCATATTGATAATGTTTATTCACCAGACAATAATTTCTTCTCAAGGTGAATAGTAGAGAAGCTCTTGGGAATAACAGAGCTACTTCTCAGGACTCACATCTACCATATCTAAGCACAGACGCACCATATCCCATTACTATCAAAGTCACAGCAACATGACGTTTTCCTTTTTGCACTGCACATCAAATACTAACCTTATTTATTCAAACCTTTTACAATACTATTTATGAGATGAACAAAATCAGGTTAATTTATTACATTCTTTGATATGTAACTATATTAACAAGTTTCTAACCAGGAAGAAAACTACTAAAGCTACTGAAATCAACCTAATGTCATTTTCAGTTACCATGCCTTAATGACTAATGGAGACATCAGTTGCTCATTTCTACTCCAACTCCAAGTTTTAAAGGTACTAAAAAGGAGGTGAGTGGCAAAAGAAAAATCTTTTGCAATTCTAGAGATCCTAAAAGGAACCAGTGCGGGCAGAGCCACCAAAGGGAGCACAGGGTTGACAGGATAGGATCGCTCACTTTCACAACCTTCTATCTCTATGGAGCGTTGGTTTTCTTCTTCCTTTCTGTTAAGTGGAAGGGGAGAGGAGAGATCCATATTCACATGGTTAAAAAGAAGGGCTAATTCTGCTTGCAAGGTACTAATAGCTGCTCAATACCATCACTATTGGAGAACACCTATCCCTTTTAATTCTTATGGTCAACCTTTTCTCAATGACCCTTCAATTTCAGATTCAAAACATAGTCTCAGTCCTTTTAAGTGATCAGATTCAAATGACTTTCTGGAAAGTCATTTTCACTAAAGAAACAGCTACTAAGCTCCCCACTAAGTTCCAAACATCTAGGTGGCAATTAGAACATCCCAATTGCTTTACTGAAACCAAAAACCAGGTCAGTTACTGCTGCATAGATTCTGAATCATGGTGATTCTACATGTTTCGGAATAGAAGTATACTGTAAAATATTTGTGTAAAGGTTTCATATTTTTGTTGAAATTAGGCAGAAAACCAAGAAATTGAACACAGCGGCTGCACTTAGGATTCAAATAAAAGAACCCAGTAGCCTAGCACTTTAAAAAGGTACCTTTCCTTTAAGAAAAGAAACTGAGTTTTCTTTCTACCAAAAGAGACACAAAATACAAGTCTTCAAGCAGGCCTATTAACCCAGCACAAGAAAAACCACAAGTTGGGCTTTTAAAGTCCAATGCTAATATTAATACTCATAATTTCAAATAATGCATTTCCAATGAAAGATACACCTAGAAAAGCACATATATTAAGAATCAAAGAGCATACACCAGTTATATTTAATCATTGACATCATTGTTAAACATACCTCTAACAAATCAAGGCACATTACTTGTACCCAATGTAGCCTCATTTTCCCATCTAACTATAAAAAATATCATTAAACCGGAATTTTAGGACATTCTTATAAAATCTTATTAATAACTACTTCTAGTACTCTAAATTGGCTTAACATACATATTATCATTCCCCAAAGCATCTGGCAAATATTATGTCCTCAATAAATACTAATTTTCTGTACTGCCTTGTTTATACCAAAGTAACATAAAAATAACAAATGAAAATGAATCTGTTACTCATATGAGTGGGTAAGAATTTTTCTTAAATTTCTTAGAAGGGTCATGTTTTGTCTAACACTAGTTTATATTTGAGAACAAGGGACACATCTGTCCACTAGTCTATCACCAAACCTAAGAGTATTTCTGTTCCTGAAGTCTAAGAATTTTTACCTTAGCCTTGCCTCACATGTGAAATTAAACTATCTTAATATACTGTAACCAATGGACAGCACTAGATTTAAAAGCTAAACCCAAACTTCATCATAGATCATGTTCAATAGAAATAGTAGCACCTGCCTGTTTGAATGTCCTTCCAGAGAACCCAGGATTTAGAACTGTCTTCAAATGTGATGAAGCAGCTCTGTTTCAATATGTTTATCTGCAATACAAAAGAATGATTAGAGTGATCTTTTTTTTTTTTTTTCAATTAAAAACATGAAGTTAAATTTAAAGGCTTAAGATTATTACAGAGATGGATGGATGGATGGATGGATGGATGGATGGATGGATGGATGGATGGATAGATAATTACAAGTTATCTCCAAAACTAGAAAGGAAACTTACCTTTTTGATAGTTCCAAGATAAAACAAGCCATCTGACCATCTAGCTAGGACATCCTGACCCTCTTCAAATTTACATGCTGGCTTTTTGGCTTTATGTCCATCCTGTAAAGACAGCTTGGTCAAGGATGCTGGGGTCTTTTGGTTTCGACGTAAAGGAGACCGCTTGTGGACCAGTGAATTACCTACCCCTGTAGAGTCTCTGTTTAAGAAATAAAAGATTATTGTCAGACTAATTTACATACAGAACTTACTGTATACCAATGTCACATTTTATATTTTAATTTGAAAACCTACTTTGTGAAAAATTTTCAATTAAGAAAAATTATAACAAGTACCAAATCACAAATGCACTCCAGAAAAAAATAATATCTAAAATAACATTACAGCAGTTCCCAATATTCATTCAGTGCCTAACCTAATGTAGACCAGATATCAGCACCACTCCAAGATAAGTCATGCCAACCATCATAAAAAAGTAGCTATTTATTGTGGCTAGGCTATGGTCAAGAGCAAAGAATGATTTGAATTTCAAGGAGGCTTTGTTTTTGTTTTTAAGGAAATGAAAAGGTGACCATCAAATTGATTCTGACTCATGGTGCAATCATGTTGGAGTCTCTTGTGTTCATTGTATTTTGAGTTTTTAAATTGTGTCAAAGATATACACAACAAATCATTCTCCAATTAAACTTCTACATGCATAATTCAGTGCCATTGTACCCTATGTTGTGCAACCATTATTGATATCCTTTTCCAAATTATTCCACCACCATTAGCATAAACTCAATGCGCCTAAGTACATTATACCATGGTTCAACCCACCATAATCAAATATGATGATAAAACTGTTCGATTCCCTCACCTGTGGCTAGAGGAGATCTGTCAGAGGCTTAATCTGACAAGGTACTCTGCAGATGGATTTGCACTGTCCTTCATAGCCTTCTACAAATTGGGTATTCATAATTTAAGCTCAGATACTTTTCCCTTGATCATATTTGGATGTTGTTATTATCATCTTTGGATCACACAGGCCGGTGCTTCTTAAATGTGGACTTAGATGGCTGCTTTTGAATACAAGTCTTTAAAACTCCAGACATAATTTCAATTGAAAGCCGAGCACCATCTGTTTTTTCTACCACACTTTGCTGTAGCACCCTTATCTTCAGTGATCTCTTCAGGAAAGCGAGTATCAAGGAGGGCCATGTTATTTAAGAAATGTTCTTGGATTAGCCCTAGAATTAATCCATTAGTTTTTCAAAGCTGTGATCATTTGAAAGTAGATCATCAGGCCTTTCTTCCAAGGCACCTCTGGTGGCTATTCTGTTCCAAGGGGCCATTGTAATCAAAAGTTACTCACTACAGCCTTGGTGGCATAATGGTTATGCATTGGACTGACTGCTAGCAGAAAAGTCAGGAGTTCAAAACCACCAGCTGCTCTGTGGGAGAAAAAAGGAGCTTTCTACTCCTGTAAAGAGTTACAGTCTCAGAAACCCACTACTATGTCCTATAAGGTCACTATGAGTCAGTATCGACTTGATGACAGTAAGTTGTTGTTTTGTTTTGTTCTTAAGAAAGGAACAATGGGGTCTGCTTTTCATTTTCTAAGTGACATGGCTTACCATCAGACCTCAGTAAAGAGTTTCTGCCTTTCCTTTTCTGTTTCTTCATTCTCAAAATTGAAAGTGAATAGTTGCAGGCGATCAGGCCAGGAGTCCTACACCTTCTGCCTAATGGGTGTCTCATTCTCTGGCAGTGATGCCTATGGGGAAAACACAGCAAGGGCAACAGCTACCAGGTCCTAAGACTGAGTTGCACCTCCAACTAGGGAGAACACAATGAGAACAGTCATTACGAAGGGTGTGAACTCTGCTAGGAGACCGTCTTATTGGAAGGGACTTTTAAACATGAGACTGTTTGTTGGATGGTGTCCAGAGGCACTGGGACAAATGAAATTGCCCCTCATCCTGTGTCTTTCTCCCCACCCTCATCTCCACCTCTACCGTACGTCTTGATGTGTTGTACACAAGACTGGAAGAAACAAAGGGGACTGAGCCACAACAATTCATAGAACAGGACTTTCTATCCTTGTTAGTTTGTGGCAAGAGGTCACCTGCACAGACTAGAAGTACTTCAGTCATGAGTTTTCCTCACTAAGCCATCCCAGCCTGCCCTTGGGTATTTGCACAAGACAGGGCTGACTGAAAACATTGACAGGAAACTACACACACTCCTGCCAGGGAATAACCCCGATCCCTGTCATTCTGGCTCTCCAAAAAAGGTTACATAGTACAACCCCATACATACTTGATAAATAACAATAAATGAAATTATAACCTCTTAATTAGATACAGTGATCAAACAGCTTCCACATACACAATTCAATAACACCGATTACATTCTTTAAGTTGTGCAGCCATTCTCACCTTCTAGTCCTGAGTTGTTCCTCCCCATTTACACAAATTCACTGTCCTCCCTAATCCCAAACGCCAAGGTTGTTATTTAATCTTTTGAGTGGCTGATACCAATTGCTTCCATATAGGTATTTTGGTATTTTGTGTGTGCACACACACATTTTACTTTTTTTTTGGGGGGGGGGGACTGGGTGAGGATTTACAGAGCAAATCATTTTTCTATTCAACAATCCCCGCACATTTGTTTCATGTCATTGACTATAATATCCACTATGAAGTATTACTTATCCTTCTTTTGTGATCTCATTTCCATTTCTCTTTCTTTCTTAGCCCTTTGTTCCTGGGCTTATGTGGTTGATTGTTCTGAGATGTATGTTCCTCCATGGTGTTACTGTTCATTGTATATGCTTATCTATTATTTTGGAAACTTGATCTATGGGGATAGGTTCAGTTTCATATTTGAAAAGTGTTTGCAGGTCAGTCTTGGAGGTTTCATTAGTGAGCGATTCTGATTACTCTTGTTGTTGCTGTTATTCAACCTGTTTGTTTTCCTTTCCCTCCCATTCGGTCCAGGATCTTTCATTGTGATCCTGCTCAGAGGAGATTTTAGTAGTAGCTAGTTAGGCATCAATGATTCTTCTGGTCTTATCAAGTGGTGAAGGCTGTGGCTTGTGTAGTCCATTAGTTCTCTGAACCAACTGTTTCCTTGAGTCTTTTGCATTTTCGATGGCTGCTCACAAGTTTTTAAGACATCAGTTGTTATTCACCAGAGTAGGGTGAATATTATCTTTGTAGACCATGTTATGCTAGTTGTCCTAGGTGTCCCTTAAGACTGTAGTCCTAAACCCCCAAGCCCAGTAATTAATTCCTTCAAAGTATATAATTATGGCTATAAAGTTTTCAGAACTTTGCACCCTGTGTGCTCTATTAAACCCACAGTAAAACTATTCGAATCACAACAACCTTATTATATAGGGTTTCTGAGACTGTAAATATTTACTGAAGCAGAGATCCTCATCTTTCTCCCATGGGGTGGCTGGTGGGTTTGAACCACCAACCTTATGGTCAACAACCCAACTCCTAAGCTACAGGGCCATCAGGGCCTGTTTATGCTCTACTATACCCAGCTATAGTTGCATATAGGGCAGAAATACCCTCTGCCATACCTATATATACCCCATGGTAAGGTTCACTTCATTTTGTATCTGCCTTACTGGTTATTACATCTAGTTCTCTGCATCTGTTCGCATAGGTTCAAGTTCCTGTCTGGTATTCCTAATTCCACTACAACCTTAAGGAGCCCTGGTGGCACAATGACTAAGAACTCCACCACTAACTGAAAGGTTGGCAAATCAAATCACTCAGTGAATCCATAAGAGAAAGACCTGATGATAAGGTTGTGTAAAGATCATACAAGACCCTATGGGGCAGCATAAGTACCAAAGACAAAATAAATGGGACCTCATAAAAAAATTAAAAGCTTCTTGATCAAAAGACTTCACTGAAAAAGATAAGCTACCAACTGGGAAAACATCTTCTGTATTCATATACTCAATAAGCATCTAATATCTAAAATATATTTTAAATGTTTGATAAAAAAATAATAACTCAATCATAAACTGGGCAGAGAATATGAAGATATTTGCCAAAGAAAATATTCAAGTAACACCCAAACATATGAAAGGTATACAACATCATTAACAATCAAAGATGCAAATCAAAACCCTACTAGGGTGACTATGGCGCTCTGGTGGCGTAGTGGGGTTGCAGTTCAGCTGCTAATCATAAGATCAGCACTTCTAAACCACTGGAGGCACACCATTGGAGAAAGCCTCGGCTTTCTCCTCCCTTAAAGATTTACACCCTCAAAAGCCCTCCCGGAAATTTTACTCTATCCTATTGGGTTGCTATGATTCAGGATCAACTTGATGGCAGTGAGTTTAAATGAGGACAGTTATAGAATCTTGGTGGTACAGTAAGTTAATTACTAGGCTGCTAACTAAAAGGTTGGTGGTCTGAACTCACCAGCAGCTCAGTGGGAGAAAGATGAGGCAGTCTGCTTCTACAGATTTAGAGCAGTAGTTCTGTGGGTCGTGACCCCTCTGGAGGCCGAATGACCCTTTCACAGGGGTCGCCTAAGAGCATCGGAAAACACATATTTCCAATGGTCTTAAGTCTGCCCACATGCAGATGAGCCCACACACAAGTACCCGGCATGAAGACTGTTACCCATGCTACACCATGCTTCAAGACAAGATTTCATTTATTTGTCATTAGAAACAAATATTTCACTATATAGTTACATATTGTTTTTGTGATTCATGACTATGCTTTATGTTCAATTTGTAACAATGAATACATCCTGCATATCAGATATTTACATGACGATTCATAACAGTAGCAAAATGAAACTGAAGTAGCAAAGAAAATAATTTTATGGTTGGGGGTCACCACAACATGAGGAACTGTATTAAAGGGTCAGGGCATTAGGAAGGCTGAGAACCACTGATTTAGAGCCTTAGAGGCCAATACAGCAAGTTTACTTAGAGGATAGTAAGATTTAATAAGGAAAAAAAATCCTAAAAATAGTAAATGTTGAAGATGTGAGGAAATTGCAATCCTTATCCATTGCTGGTGGGAATGCAAAATGGTGAAAAACAGTGTGGTAGTTTCTCAACAACAACAAAATACCCTAAAAACAGAACTACCTTTTTACCCAGCAATTCCATTTCTAGTTATATACACTCAAAAGACCTGACAGCAGAGACCCAAGAGACTTGTATATCTCTTT